CCCTCTAAAAACCAGTGGCGAGGTCCCTTTCGCCACAGGGGGGTTGGAGGGAGAGGGGAACTGCAGTGCCAGGAAAACTGTTTGTTTTCCTGGCACTGGAGAGTCCCTTTAACCCTCAGTGAAACATAGCAATTTCTCTGAAACTGCTATGCTTTCAGCTGCAGGGTTAAAACTAGAGGGACCTGGGTTTTGTGTACGCCACTGATTGAGGGGATTACAGCAGGGAGTATATCAGGATAGATTGAGGGATTACAGCAGGGAGTATATCTGGATAGATTGAGGGATTACAGCAGGGAGTATATCGGGATAGATTGAGGGATTACAGCAGGGAGTATATCAGGATAGATTGAGGGATTACAGCAGGGAGTATATCGGGATAGATTGAGGGGATTACAGCAGGGAGTATATCGGGATAGATTGAAGGGATTACAGCAGGGAGTATATCGGATAGATTGAGGGGATTACAGCAGGGAGTATATCGGGATAGATTGAGGGGATTACAGCAGGGAGTATATCGGATAGATTGAGGGGATTACAGCAGGGAGTATATCGGGATAGATTGAGGGATTACAGAAGGGAGTATATCGGATAGATTGAGGGATTACAGCAGGAGTATATCGGATAGATTGAGGGGATTACAGCAGGGAGTATATCAGGATAGATTGAGGGGATTACAGCAGGGAGTATATCGGATAGATTGAGGGGATTACAGCAGGGAGTATATCGGGATAGATTGAGGGATTACAGCAGGGAGTATATCGGATAGATTGAGGGATTACAGCAGGAGTATATCGGGATAGATTGAGGGGATTACAGCAGGGAGTATATCGGGATAGATTGAGGGGATTACAGCAGGGAGTATATCGGGATAGATTGAGGGGATTACAGCAGGGAGTATATCGGGATAGATTGAGGGGATTACAGCAGGGAGTATATCGGGATAGATTGAGGGGATTACAGCAGGGAGTATATCGGGATAGATTGAGGGATTACAGCAGGGAGTATATCGGGATAGATTGAGGGATTACAGCATGGAGTATATCGGGATAGATTGAGGGATTACAGCAGGAGTATATCGGGATAGATTGAGGGATTACAGCAGGGAGTATATCGGATAGATTGAGGGGATTACAGCAGGGAGTATATCGGGATAGATTGAGGGGATTACAGCAGGGAGTATATCGGGATAGATTGAGGGGATTACAGCAGGGAGTATATCGGGATAGATTGAGGGGATTATATTATGGGAGAATTAAGAATTTAGGGGTTTTGAGGAGACTGACAGATTAAAGGAGAGCAGGTGAGATGTGGATTGATTGCAAGCTTTGAGTTTAATTTATACAGATGTAGAACTGACTTCTTACCTGCAGATTATAATTACCCAGTTGTATGTGGTAGGCAGCACCATTATATTGAGCCAGGTATAATACCAATCTCCTGACGGGTCCAGGATCCAAGCTCGTTTCTGGGTGCTAGAGGAAAGAGACACTGTGAAAACACCCCCTAATTTAATACTCAGTCTAAACCTTAAAAGGGACACTCCAGACGCTAAATCACTTTACATTGCTGTAATGCTTCATTTGTGGAAAGTGTGTAGCAAACTGGGTCAGCTGTTCGGTTGTCTTATTAGTTTCCCGTATGAATGATGTGTGGTCTCCTATTTTATACCCCCCCCAAACACCAACCACCCCTGGCTTGTTATCTTCAAAGGAGCAATTAGCTCAAGTGCTTTCCTCGGGTGGCCGCCATTCATATAATATACACACGTGCGCGAGTGAATGGTGGCCATTTTGTTTCCCAAACGCGAGCAGCGGAACATGTGAAACTCTTTGCAGCTACGTGATCCCTCAAACTCCAGGAAAAACTGCACCACTGCCCGTTCAGCTTCCAGACAAGTTAGGAGAACGCCGTTCGGGAGAAAAAAAACCTACTGACTGGGGGGGGGGAACATTTGCTCCCTAAAAGCCAGGGGGAGCATTCGTCGGTATTCGCACAGGAACCTCCGAAATTGGACCGGCCTTTGCCTCTCTTCCCTCTGGCACTATTTTGGGCTATCACCTTGTGGTGTCAGGATCCAATCCTGACAACTAAGATTTATGTTACTTTTTCTGTTTATTTAAAACAAGTTCCTTCATTAACTACAGTGCCTTGCAAAAGTATTCACCCCCCTTGGCATATTTCGTGTTTTGTTGCCTCACAACCGGAAATTACCATGGATTGTTTGAGGATTTGCATAATTTAATTTACAGAACATGCCCACAACTTTGAAGATTTTTTGTTTGTTTGTTTTTTATTTTGAAGCAAATAGGACAAAATAACAGAAAAGGTCAATGTGTATAACTATTCACCCCCCTAAAGTCAATACTTTGTAGAGCCACCTGTTGCGGCAATCACAGCTCCAAGTCGCTTTGGATAAGTCTCTATGAGCTTGCCACATCTTACCACTGGGATTTCTGCCCATTCCTCCTTGCAAAACTGCTCCAGCTCCTTCAAGTTGGATGGTTTGCGCTTGTGAACAGCAATCTTTAAGTCTGACCACAGATTTTCTATTGGATTGAGGTCTGGGCTTTGACTAGGCCATTCCAATACATTTACATGTTTCCCCTTAAACCACTCAAGTGTTGCTTTAGCTGTGTGTTTGGGGTCATTGTCCTGCTGGAAGGTGAACCTCCGTCCTAGCCTCAAATCACGCACAGAGTGGTACAGGTTTTGCTCAAGACTATCCCTGTATTTAGCACCATCCATCTTTCCCTCAACTCTGACCAGTTTCCCAGTCCTGGCTGCTGAAAAACATCCCCACAGCATGATGCTGCCACCACCATGTTTCACTGTGGGGATGGTGTTCTTTGGGTGATGTGATGTGTTGGGTTTGTGCCAGACATAGCGTTTTCTTTGATGGCCGAAAAGTTAAATTTTAGTCTCATCAGACCAGAGCACCTTCCTCCATACTTTTTGGGAATCTCCCAAATGCCTTTTCGCAAACTTAAAACGTGCCATTTTGTTTTTTGCTGAAAGTAATGGCTTTCTTCTGGCCACTCTGCCATAAAGCCCAACTCTATGGAGCGTACGGCTTATTGTCATTCTATGTACAGACATGGACGTTTTAGCCGCGAGGCAAACAAGGCATTTGCCTTGGGCGGCATTTTCCAGGGGGCGGCAAAAATAGCCGCCCCCAAATGCAGCCTGTCTGCGGCTAACTGACATGCCAGACAGGCTGCTGGGTGGGCGGCTGGCGAGGAAGCACTTCATCTGATCTGTCTGCTCAGCTCCCTCGCGCGCTGCAGAGTGAGGCTGGGAGCCGGAATATGAGTTTTGTCCTGCCTAGGGCATCACAAAACCAGGATACACCACTGTGTGCAGATACTCCAGTCTCTGCTGTGGAACTCTGCAGCTCCTCCAGGGTTACCTTAGGTCTCTGTGCTGCCTCTCTGATTGATGCCCTCCTTGCCCGGTCACTGAGTTTTGGTGGGCGGCCGTCTCTTGGCAGGTTTGCTGTTGTGCCATGTTCTTTCCATTTGGTTATGATAGATTTGATGGTTGTCCTGGGGATCATCAAAGATTTCAATGTTTTTTTTTATAACCTAACCCTGACTTGTACTTCTCAACAACATTGCCCCTTACTTGTTCGGAGAATGTCTTGGTCTTCATGGCAGTGTTTAAAAAAAAGGTGTGTATATGTAATGACAGATCATGTGACACTTAGATTGCACACAGGTGGACATCATTTCACTAATTATGTGACTTCTGAAGGTAATTGGTTGCACCAGAGCTTTTTATGGGTTTCATAATAAAGGGGGTGAATACATACGCACATGCCAATTTTCTGTTTTCTATTTCTAAAAAATAGTTTTATGGATATATTTTTCTCATTTCACTTCACCAACTTAGACTATCGTGTTCTGATCCATCACATAAAATTCAGATTAATAAAACATTGAACTTAAGGCTGTAATGTAACAAAATAGGTAAAAAGTCAAGGGGGCAGGGGGGTGAATACTTTTGCAAGGCACTGTATGTTTTGCCACTAGTGGCCTCGCTAACCACTAGACAAACCTCAGTTAAAGGTAGGCAGACAATGTAATAGAGCAGCAGGAAATGCTAGCAGAATGCTTGGTTGTATAGGGAGAGGTATTAGCAGTAGAAAGAGGGAAGTGCCATGCCATTGTACAGAACACTGGTGAGACCTCACTTGGAGTATTGTACACAGTACTGGAGACCGTATCTTCAGAAGGATATTGATACCTTAGAGAGGGTTCAGAGAAGGGCTACTAAACTGGTCCATGGATTGCGGGATAAAACTTACCAGGAAAGGTTAAAGGATCTTAACATGTATAGCTTGGAGGAAAGACGAGACAGGGGATATGATAGAAACATTTAAATATATAAAGGGAATCAACACAGTAAAGGAGGAGACTATATTTAAAAGAAGAAAAACTACCACAACAAGAGGACAGTCTTAAATTAGAGGGACAAAGGTTTAAAAATAATATCAGGAAATATTACTTTACTGAGAGGGTAGTGGATGCATGGAATAGCCTTCCAGCTGAAGTGGTAGAGGTTAACACAGTAAAGGAGTTTAAGCATGCGTGGGATAGGCATAAGGCTATCCTAACTATATATAGATAAGGCCAGGGACTAATGAAAGTATTTAGAAAATTGGGCAGACGAATATCTACCAAAATCAATAAAATAAAATGCAAATTTCACTTGAGGGGGGGCTAACCCGTAGTCACGTCCACAAAGTTAAGTAGTGAATACCGCCTCTTGCGTGATAGATCTAACAAAGAAAACAGTTGATCAAACATGATCTAACGAATATCTGACAAAATCAGTAACATTTTCTCAAAATTTCAGTTGAGGGGGGCCAGCC